CTACTAACGACAATAACAGCAGAGAGCGTCTCCCTTTCCAATGGCGAATCTCAATGCGTTGCCTCTGACAGCACTTTTGTCTGCTCTCACTGCATCAGACAAACACAGTGATGATTGCATTTCAGCCCACCCACACGCAGCCTCTCTATTATTAACAGTACAAGCATGTCGGAGAGCGCCTCCACATCTCTGACAAAAGTGCTTGTTTCAGCAGTCATTTACCCGGAGAAAAATCTACTCGAGGTATTATTTCTCAAAAACCTGCAAAGTGAAACGAGCTAGATTAGATTGAGTACCCTACTACTAGATGGCTGTTTCCCTTTCTCTTATATCCAGTGTGTCAAATCTGCCAAATTCAAGGCATCATCTGGAGAAAACCGCCTAAACGTCCACTTCATCTCACTCGCACTAATGATAAAAGCTAAAAAAGAGGGAAAAAACACCCAAAAGAGCAACAACTAACTGCAGAAACTGTCCTCATCTGTTTTACCCACCCAAGGGAGTTGTCACAAGCCCTGTCAGAGGAAAATAAAATCCAGAGACTAGCGTTCAACACGTCTGGGGCTTTTGGAACGGCTCCTGAGAACGTAATTGGATTCTCGGTCTCTTTGCAGACGGACCAATTCACGGACACCGTCGAGTGAGGAGCGGTGATAAAAGAGACGACAGAGATGGAACAGTGTTCTATTCGGCGAACAGATAAATGACTTGCATGATTTAAAACCCCCTATTTTCATCTCAGCCCCAATCCATCTCACGGTGCTCCAATTATTGTAGCCCGGTTGTTTGCCAAAATGAAGTGAGTGGAAAGGCACAGTTTGGATCAGTCTGCGATAACGATGCAGCCCGCAGCCTCAACAGAAGGAGACTGAATAAGTCGTGAGAAGTGTAAATGTGTGTGTGTGTGTGGAGGGGGTGGTTCGTGTAAACCGAAACAACATTATTAGACACTCAGTGCTTTGTATGGAGGCATGAGTCAATTCAACCCATTAAAAACAGGAAATTAAAAAGAGGAGAAGATACAAATCACAAATTAAGAGTTAAACTTGTTGCTTGTGCTTTATGAATCCCAACTTACGACATAATTCACTATATGATAGTCCAGTGTTGTCGACTTAGCTGTTACAATGTTACAATGTTACAAAGGCATCGCTCAAAATCTGTTCAATCACTGAAGTAAGAGCAATATTTCAGTTTAAGTGCTGCACGGCCACCTTTCATCCATTCAAGGGCATTCGAATTGTGAAATCGTGCTGCAGATTTGAGCTTAAAAAGTGTGATTTTAAAAAGAGGCCACAGAATGGGCTGGAGATGTAGTCAAATCTCTTTTAAATTACATCCTTGAATAAAATCAGCTTTTTCTTCTTCTTTTGAAGGGGCTTCTTTTCACATGGGGAGGTTTGGTAAATTAGCGGTCACTTAAGAGCAATGAAAACATTTTGTGGGAGAACACACACAGACGCTACAGGTGAGAAATGGAATAAGTGACGGCAGATAAAACGTTTTTTAAAAGAAGCATGAACAGAGTCAATTAGATTAAGCTCTCTCCATCCCAACAACTGCTTCTGACTAATTGGTTCCCCTTCCTCGCTGTGAAAGGAGCTCGTGGGCTAATCCAGGTCACTGGAAGCTGATTTACACCGCAGTACGAGAGCGAGGCGTCTCACGGCGCTGACGAAACGGCGTCCAGGCATGTCCTGTCCTCCGCAGGGCCTGACAGTCCGTGATACCACCAGGGTTGTGTCACGGAAACATCAGGCACACGCTCCACCCTCTGAATCGCACCCGAACCACGCTTATCTTCATCATCGAGTCCACATTTCGATATCACTATTATGGCTGCCATTGACAGCTGTTAGCAGTACGGCTACCTCATGCTGTAACCGAATCAATGTCAACTGGAAAAGAGAGATTTACGATCCAAACCTCCCAGGGTGACTAATAGCGGTCAGACAGGTGCAGATAATCGATGCCTGGCAAAGAAAAGCACAAAATTTAACAAGTAATCCCTTTTTAAATGTTAAAAAGGGTCCATAGTGTATTTAAAAAGGGTAAAAGATAAGAAGCAGCTATTGTAAATACAGTAAGGTGATTAGCAAACACATAGACTTTTTATTAGCTCGTTCCCTTCTTATTCAGGAAAACTTAGTTTGAGTTGCGTATTTCAGTGTCATGTGTTTACAATGACTTGTGTGCCCTACATTAATGTGACTGAATGATTTTATATGGCTGTTTTCTATGGATGTGCTTTTGCTCATGTGTAAACTGAGGGGCTTCCAAAACTCTTGTTAGGTGAGCAAATTGATGGTCAGTGGAGTTTCAATTAATTCTAAAGCAATATTAGTATTATAGCACTTACACATTACTATCACCCACAGGAAAGAGGAATCAGGTGTAGCACATCCTAACATGATCATGTTCACTTAGTTATCCTTTTTTCACAGTTGTAAATATACAGATATGTGATCTGCATGTGTATAGTGTGAAAATACTAACATATTTCTTACTGCAAGGCTTATGCAAGATTTTATACTATTAAAAAGCTGCATTTATCCTTTAACCACACATCGACAGTAAGCAGAAAACTATGCCTTTAGCTGGGAAGACTCGTAGCTCATGCCATGTTTGTGTGTTTGGGCCTCGGTCGTGATCTGTGAAGTCCTTTCATCAAAGCTGATGTCAGCAGAGACTCTGCCGCTTCTGGGGTGCAAAGCATCAACAGCATTGTTGATTTAACCTCGCACTGCCTCCGAGACCTGGGCAGGAATGTCGGATTCACATAAAGTTCCAGAAATCCAAACAAATGCAGGCCAGTAGGATATAGTTACAGGATAATAAATTGATGATATGTAAAGAAACGCATTTGTTTCTCATAAATACGCGCACGCTTCTTTGGTTTCTTGCCCAAATCTGTAACTCCAGGAAGTCCCGGGTGATTCTGGTCGTGTCCGAAATCATTCACTCATTCGTTATAAGCTGATGCCTGTAAAGGAAGTTCTGTGTAAACAGCTGTCTGTGATCAAACCTTCAAATATCAGTCAGGTGACTCTCTGCTGCTGTCACAGAGTTAAAACATAACAGCATCAGCTTAATAAACTGGCAGTATTTTGGGTATTAATGCTGATTTTCTCAGTGTCATAAACAGAACATTTTACCTTTCAGCACAGCGTGCGACTGCGATGGCATCTTTTGTAGTAGTTGTATTTACACTATTTAGTAGAGCATTGTGGTATATTTTAAGTGCACGATAGGGAAAAAGGATACCAGACACTTAGACGTAGCATATATATTCACTATATATACACAATTCACTATATTCATATATATGGAGAGAGAGAGAAATAAAATTGTGAATGATTTCTGATGCATCGTTTGCTTGCATGTTTTATATAATTGTAAACTAGCAGCAGAGTTGGGATTTTTTTCTAAGTTACAGAGTGTCTGAAGGTTTGTGATAAGGTAACATGAAGTGCATCCTGTACCAAGGCCAGGGCTTATCAACTTTAAAGCATCAGATACGCGTTCCTCTTGTGATCATGCTGCACGTAACCACCAAGATTCAGATAATTCAGCCTGTTAATTTACAGGCTAACCTTCCTTAGAGACAGCTTAAGCCATTTATCTGGCATCTGCAAAGCTAGCAGCTAGATGGAAACGATGCATCTTAACTAGGATGCTGTTCTTGTCGTGCTGCCAGACGTGTTGCAGTTTTACTGTGGCACAAGAAACATAATTAGCATATTATTCAAAATGTTGCTGTATGCTAAGTCGAATTTTTAAAAAAAAAAACTCCATTTAGCCACAGCGGGGTATATCTGCTGCACAGGCTGCCACGATATTCAGCAGATATATGGAGTCCTTTGTGGAGCCCCAGATACTGCTCAAGACAAATATCTGCCTGCTATGCTTACTGTTCGGTCTGAGCTGTTATGAAGTTATCACATCAGAATATCTGAGATGCATTCGTCAGGAAGATTTAACATTTACGTGCAGATATTTCAGATCCTGGTTGACGTTTTATTTTGTGTACTTCAATTTTGAGAGCAGCATACTTTCTCAAATGCGTTTTACTTCATAAAGATGAAAGGTTTCAGATCGAACATGCATCGTAAAGCCTCTTTTGGAGGGCACTTTGTGCTTGGCAGGGTGAAAGGACACCGCCCTCCTTTGGATCGCAGCCTGTGCCTGCTGGAATAATAAAACTTTAGGTTCAGGCAATCACGGCTGACATAGGCTTTATGAAAGGATTTCACTTGCTGTCATTCATCCTCAGTCTGATGTTTTCTCTTTCATTACACATCTGAGCCGCTATTCACAAAGCCTCTCAGAACAGAAGTGTTGATCCGTGTGTGGGTAGGGGGAGATTTAATAAAATGTTCTTTCAGTTCTGGTAGATTCGCTCTCCTGTTAATCTACTATTCTCTGTAAATCCAAAGAATGTAATAAAAAAAATCACGAAATGATGTCTGCAGTGTGGCAGTGCGCTAATACCTCTGATCATAACAGAAATACGCTCTCGCACGAAATATCCACACTACTGTTCACTGCAGCTTCTGACTCTCACATCAATTAAATTTAATTCACTCCAGTTCAAATCAGTGGCTTTTGTGATTGAATTTAGTCTCATCTCTGATTCATGACGGATAATTGGAGAAACTAATTGGAAAGCACTTATCACTCCGTCACTCTGAGTGCAATATTTTACCACGCTAATGTTGCCGGTAATCTTTTGGACAAACTGATCCCGGTTCGGCAGCACTTTGGCTCTGAGCAGCATTGTGAATTATTCAGAAATGCGGTGTACCATTTTCTGCTTGAAATCTGTTTTGTAGTCAAACTTCTGACCTATCGCGAGCCTCCCAGCACCTGCGGATGTTTTTCATGTAAGAAAAGGTTAATAAATGTACGTATGAAAAAATCATATAATAAATGTCTTTACTTTGAAATAAATGTACTTGATCTCAGAGGAGAGAA